CGGGCGCCGCGGCTCTCACAGAAGGTTCTGAAGAGAAAGACGAGCCTGTAAAAGGGAGCGGCTCTCTCCTCCGCCATCAAAAGCCTCCCACCCGCTTAACGGACAGAGCAGTGTATAAGGTGACAAGACTCCGCCATTGAGCGGCTATCACAGCGGGCCCCGGTTCATGCTCAGGTGCCGTGCCCCCGCCCATTCTCTACCCGGCATGGCGCAGGCCTCACATCCACTACTATTCACCGCTTAGGTGTGACCAGAGTCCCGGTGGCGGCGGCGGCGCCGCTTACTCACATGTTGGTACAGTTCCCCCGGCTCTCCTTACACGCTCCACGCTGCTCCTCTCGTATAATCCACCGCACGCTGCTCCGCTCCTCCCAATGCTCTCCCGGGCCTGAGTGACGTCACCGAGCAAAGGGTGGAGACTGGCCTCGGACTCATTCTGAGGTAGGAGGCCCGAACAATCTCGCGGCATTTTAAAAGAAAAGTGAGAGGCAGCGAGCACAATGCCCCGCCCCCCTCTGCACCCGCCGCTGTAGGACGAAAGCGCGCCGTACAAAGGTTCAGGGGCGTGGCGTGTGCGTTGTTTCTATAACGTTCCAGCACTTTCTTGTTGTTGCTAGGGTACGACATGGGTGTACAGGGGAAATGGCAACTGACGAGTCTATTGGGGTGTGACCTCCTAGAGCTATTTTTCATTTTGCATTATAGGGACATTAAAATTTTCTTTGAAGTTGTGTGTTGTAGGGCCTGGTCGGCCTCCATTGTATAGCTGGCCATATAAGCGGGCTGGCAATCGATAAGTACAGGCTCAGGAGGGATCATGTGGCATCTGACTATAAGGCAGTGTAATGGTAGAGGACATAGACCAGGCATCAGATATCCATTGTATGGTCACCGAGGACATAGACCTGGCATCAGATAGCCATTGTATGGTCACTGAGGACATAGACCTGACATCAGACATCCATTGTATGTTCACTGAGGACATAGACCTGACATCAGACAGCCATTGTATGGTCACTGAGGACATAGACCTGACATCAGACATCCATTGTATGTTCACTGAGGACATAGACCTGACATCAGACAGCCATTGTATGGTCACTGAGGACATAGACCTGGCATCAGACAGCCATTGTATGGTCACCGAGGACATAGACCTGGCATCAGACATCCATTGTATGGTCACCGAGGACATAGACCTGACATCAGACATCCATTGTATGGTCACTGAGGACATAGACCTGGCATTAGATCAGGGGCATCAACCATCATCCCACACAACACATTACAACTGATTAGGCCAGGATGGGTGTGTCAGTGACAGTTTTGAGCAGGCTTTGGGTGCGTCCAGCGAACAATTTCAGGTGGTGAGTGTCCTATCATTAGGGCGGGTTTGCTTGTACAAGAGGAATAATGTTAATTTCATGTGAACACCTTGTCTATGAGAACACGTACGCACATATGTGGTCTCACCCAGGTGGGCCTTTGTGGCCTTCATATATGCGTACCTGTGTCTGTACAGGTAGTACGGATGCACCGATACTAGTATGGGTGCCGATACCGATTATTTCAGCGAGTACTCGCACTCACCCAAATACTTCGATACTGGAACCTCCGGTCAGAGGGAGATTTCCTCTGACCTGCAATTCCGCAATGGAACAGGAAGGCGGGTAATGACTTGCCGCCTGGTTTCTTGATTGCCCGGAAAGCTGGCTCAATGCTGTTTGGCCGAGAAGCCAGTTTCCCGGCCAATCAGCATCGAGCCAGCTTCCCGGACAGTCGAGAAGCCGCCTCCATGCTAGCCGGGCGGCTTCTTGACTGCCCGGGAAACCGGCTCCATGCTAGTGGAAGTATCGGTGAGTACTGAAATATAAATATCGGTACTCATACTAGATACCGAAAAACCGGTATGGGTGCATTCCTAACAGGTACTGCACTGATTTGCACCCCCCAGCACTGAGATTCAGCTCCGGGTCTCATACTTATGATCGGGGGCAGTTCATACCATCCGAATGAACCTGGTGTGGTGTCAAAATATACAAAGCACACCCAGCTATATGTTTGCATTAAAAAACAAGTCAACCCCCAGGGCTACGCGGAGTCAAACTGGTCTGGCAGCTCTGACCTTGCCTGACGAAGGGACCCTATGTGGTTCTGAAACTTTGCAATCTTATGCTGCAGACCCTCAATAGAGATGGGATTCTTAAGCACAACGTTGTGCGAACAACTTATCTTCTATTTGTATGCTGTGGCATCATCCACCAGTTGCTCCAGCACCTAATTAAAAGGGGTATATCGGTATGGTGTGTGAAGGAGATATAACCATACATTGTCCGCCAGCTGATGCAACCTCTTCTTTGGAGAAGGCTATCATCCATATGTAAACAATTACAAGATCTGTATTCCGCTGGCATGGAAGCATATGGGACCACAGAAAAAAAATAAGACCACAAAGATTTCCCACAGCGGCTCAGGCAATGTCTTCAGAGGGGCACATCACTCAGTTACCAACAGGAGGAAGTGCTGTTGGTCAGATTTGCAGACAGAAAAGATGTCTACATGTTGAAGACATGGCTGTAATGGAGGGCAGAGTGGCTGTAATGGAAGGAGGGTCATCTACATAAAAGGAAAAGCCACTGTGTGTCAACACATACAACAAGTACATGGGTGGGGTTGACCTCTCTGCCCAGGGCTTGCAGTTCTATCTAGGCCAAAAGAAAACAAAGGCCTGGTACTAAAAGGTTGCAATATACCTTATCTAGGTGGCCCTGCACAATTAATTTGTCCTTTAGGCCTCATTCACACGAGAAAAGGCAGTAATGTACAGCTCCGTGCTGCGTGCACGGCCGTATCAGGCAGCTCCCGGGAAGGACAGGTGCTGCGTGTGATTAGTACGCAGCCCCTGTCCTTCTCTATGGGACTACGCTGCCATACGCCGCCCTACGCTCACCCCAAGTGCAGGTCCGTACGGGTGTCTGTACTCATACGCTGACAGGATGGATCCTGTCTGCATCCGAGTCGGAACACCCGTACGGACCTGCACTTGGGGTGAGCGTAGGGCGGCGTATTCCAATAGAGAAGGACGGGGGCTGCGTACTAATCACACGCAGCACCTGTCCTTCCCGGGAGCTGCCAGATACGGCCGTGCACTCAGCATGAAGCTGTACGTGCCGGCTTTTTCTCGCGTGAATGAGGCCTTACAACAAATCATCTGGTTCTGACAATTTCTTGGAATGTTTAACAAAAGCCCAAACATCCCGCGGAATCAGAGGACCTAAGAAAATCAACAGAAAGGCATTTTTTTGTGTCCAATCCCATAATAACCAAAAAAGCCCAAAGAAGAAGTGTGTGTGCAGGAAAAACATGAAACGATGAGATACACGTTACCATTGTCCCACCTGTCCCTCCAACCTTGGCCACTGCATCCACCCCTTTTATGACACTTACCACACTGTCTCACATTATTAAAAACTGGAAATTTAGTGAAATCCAAGGGACCATTAACTTTTGTCTTTCTTATATATTATTATACAATATTTATATAGTGCCAGCAACTGACACAGCGCTTGTCACGATCCTACGAGCAGTAGAGGGTTAGGATCACAGCTGCGGATCTACTGTCGAATAGGCTTATGGGATTGGATCAGGCGGACGATTCCCAAATACACCCAGTGCGATGGGGAACCGTTCCACATCATGTATCCCGCCCTAGAGGGAAGAGAGGCCTAGTATCAGGGTGGCAACACCAGGTAGCCTTATAATTATCCGTTTACAACATAAGCAATTTCTTGGAGTGATGGGACTGTAGTTCCCTACGGCATATGCCACAGTATTAAGCACACAGAATCTCTAAGTCCCACAGAACTCCCAGCACCACAGAAATTGTAACCACACACTAGTTCTATTACTTCTGCAGCAAGTTCAGTCAGCAGTTTGGAATTAGGTGCACACTGGAGACAAAAGTATCCACAACAGCATATGACCATTTCTAATGGTCAGATTTAGGCAGGTAGGCAATTTGTGATACAGCAACTATAGGAAGTCAAATAGCCACTATAAGTAGAGGCTGAGCCCCCGTTCAGTACTGCAAGGAGCAGAGAGGCTACTGTAGCAGAGGTGCTGGGTCCCTGAAGACAGCCACGGGCTGGCTGGAGCAACGGCAGATGGCCTGGTTCGGTGGAGTGCGGGGAGACTACGCTCGACGTTCCACATTGACAGAATGCCGAGTGAGTCTTCCGCTGTGGCTATGAGGGGAAGCCGCGGTCAGGGGGCGGAGCCCAGCGTGACGTCATGCTTGCAGTTCTATCTAGGCCAAAAGAAAACAAAGGCCTGGTACTAAAAGGTTGCAATATACCTTATCTAGGTGGCCCTGCACAATTAATTTGTCCTTTAGGCCTCATTCACACGAGAAAAGGCAGTAATGTACAGCTCCGTGCTGCGTGCACGGCCGTATCAGGCAGCTCCCGGGAAGGACAGGTGCTGCGTGTGATTAGTACGCAGCCCCTGTCCTTCTCTATGGGACTACGCTGCCATACGCCGCCCTACGCTCACCCCAAGTGCAGGTCCGTACGGGTGTCTGTACTCATACGCTGACAGGATGGATCCTGTCTGCATCCGAGTCGGAACACCCGTACGGACCTGCACTTGGGGTGAGCGTAGGGCGGCGTATTCCAATAGAGAAGGACGGGGGCTGCGTACTAATCACACGCAGCACCTGTCCTTCCCGGGAGCTGCCAGATACGGCCGTGCACTCAGCATGAAGCTGTACGTGCCGGCTTTTTCTCGCGTGAATGAGGCCTTACAACAAATCATCTGGTTCTGACAATTTCTTGGAATGTTTAACAAAAGCCCAAACATCCCGCGGAATCAGAGGACCTAAGAAAATCAACAGAAAGGCATTTTTTTGTGTCCAATCCCATAATAACCAAAAAAGCCCAAAGAAGAAGTGTGTGTGCAGGAAAAACATGAAACGATGAGATACACGTTACCATTGTCCCACCTGTCCCTCCAACCTTGGCCACTGCATCCACCCCTTTTATGACACTTACCACACTGTCTCACATTATTAAAAACTGGAAATTTAGTGAAATCCAAGGGACCATTAACTTTTGTCTTTCTTATATATTATTATACAATATTTATATAGTGCCAGCAACTGACACAGCGCTTGTCACGATCCTACGAGCAGTAGAGGGTTAGGATCACAGCTGCGGATCTACTGTCGAATAGGCTTATGGGATTGGATCAGGCGGACGATTCCCAAATACACCCAGTGCGATGGGGAACCGTTCCACATCATGTATCCCGCCCTAGAGGGAAGAGAGGCCTAGTATCAGGGTGGCAACACCAGGTAGCCTTATAATTATCCGTTTACAACATAAGCAATTTCTTGGAGTGATGGGACTGTAGTTCCCTACGGCATATGCCACAGTATTAAG